AAAAAGAAAAAAAAAAAACAAAAAAAAAAAAAAAAAAAGAAAGGCTCCTTTTCAAGATTTAGTGTCAGAAAAAAAAAAACACAACGGCACAGGTTTCTAATGGAGAAGCACAGTGACCGTGGCACAGATGGAGAGACGAGGGCCCCAGCTAGAGCAGAAAAAGCTGCATGTGAGGGTGAGCGGCCCCTCGGCTCCCAGGCACTGTGCAGCCGGCTGGCAGCACTGACAGGAACTCTGGTTCCCACATCTGGCTCAGTGACTTCGCAGCCACTGCCTCCTGTGCCTTCTGCTGTGTTTGCAGGGACGTCACCACTTGTCATTCTCTGTGCTGTTGGAGCATCCATCAGAAGGAACACAGCAGCCAGCAGGCACTCGAGCCACCCAAGAGGGCCTTAACCCAAGTGTCCTAAAGTGCCCAGTAGTTCGTGCAGGTGGAGGAGCTACTCATGAACCAGGCACAGTGACGCCCGCCTGCGATCCCAGCACTCTGGGAGGCTGAGGCAGGAGGATTGCAAGCTGGATCCTACCTGGGCAATTTAGAGACACAGTGAGACCCTTTTTCAAGCAAAAAATAAAATTAAATTTCAAAGGCTTGGGGACATAGTTCAGTGCGAAGGCCCTGGGTTCAATCAATCCCCAGTACTGCAAATTAAAAAAACAAAAAGTGCTGTATTCATGTACATGCTAATTTTTCTGGAGGGGGACCATCTAGGCACAGGGACCACTCAGGGGCCAGCAGGGTTGTGCGTATCCTCTACCCGGGACCCAACACTCTGCACGCAGAAGGAGGGAGCTGTCGCCAGACACAAAGGATGCTGGGACATGACCGGCTGAGCCGCCCTGCAGCAGGGGCTGGCGGTGGGGGGCAGGGGTGAAGGGAGTGAGGATATCAAGGCCAGGTTCTGCTGAAACAAAAGCTTTGTTCCACAAGTTTCATGTACCGCAAGATTGTTCTGAAATGGGGCCTTTACCTTGTTTGTTTGTTTTTCCAATGGTCTAGACACAGGGAGTCTCTCTCATCCTTTTATTACCGTGCCTGCCTGTCCTTGCCAAGGGAGGCACCCAACTTCAAGGCGTGGCAAATGTGGATGTAAACATGGGCTTTTCTTTTCTTTTCTTTATTTGAGACAGGGTCTCACTACCTAGCCCATGCTGGCCTCAAACTCACAGCAATCCTCCTGCCTCAGCCTCCTG